GTAATAATATAATAAATTTATAAAACAATAAAATAAGTTTTAGCATATTTCAGTTTATAAGTTTCAAAATCGGGTTTTGGGTTTTGGGTTTTGGAAAAATAAATGCATTTCTAAAATTAGGTTTCGTTATATACCAAAACCTAAAGAGTTTCGAGAGGTTTCGGTTTTGATATCCATGTTTAGTAGAAGATAAATAGCATCAGATTGTAAAAGTACATGAAATAATGACGTTGGATTTCTTACACTGGGCAGACTATATACAAATCGTTTAAGTGTTTTCTCCCTCCAATGTCTGACTGCCTTTATCTTCCAATAGATTTTGATTTCGCAAAATAGATCTTCCTAGTCTTGTCACTCTGGTATAAATTCAGGATTCCCTTCATTATCCCATTCATATTTCGATTCATATTCTTTGATAAATTCATTGTAGCCTTCATCTGCGTCATCTGACATTTTGCTAATAGAGCAATTATACTTAATAAAAAATAAAGTACTGGTTAGCATGCATAGCTTCTTTTCTGTATATGCGAAAATTATATTGCACAGATCTATTATGTGATCAGCCTATTTTTGTCACACATGAGTACATGCGTTGTGGCTCAGTAAAATCTCCCAAGCTGGCAATTACCGCTTCAGTTGATGATCAATATTTCAGACACAAATTTGAATATATGCTAGCTAGGGATAAACACAATCATAACAAGCAATACTAATATTAGTTCTAATAAAAGCAAAGCTCAATTATATGAAATGCTACATGAAGAGCTTTTATATAAAGTACTTTTATATAAGAAGAAAGATATAATAGCTATTCAGGAAAAACTCAATATGACGATAGTCCCAAAAAAACTCCCATCTATTAATGACAATACAAATCAAATAGCATTGAATCAAAGCAAGAAAGGAAAAATACTTAAAGATTCATTTGGGCTGTTGTTTGATTTGATGAAGGAATTAAAACCGATACATGAGAAAATCGATATCGATGGTCACCCTATCCTTACAATATTACATCAAAATATGCAAGAACTTATAAATATAACATTTGGGAAAATGTCACTTGGGAAAATTTATCATTTACTTTTATATTTGGAAGGGGATATAAGCAGAATTCAAGATCTTCTTGATATTGATGGTTATACTATTCGAGAATTAAGTGAAATAGAAGCTGATAAAAATGCAATAGGATATCTTTATATGTTCAGATTTAACCCTGAAAAACTGTCCTGTGATTTCTGAAGGACATTCCTCAAGAATTGCATGATATTTTCGTAAAAAATTCAGCTGGCACAGACCAGTGCCCATGTCTAGAATAGGTTAGTTAATCTATATTTTTTATCAGATAGGAGGCTCAGCAAAAAATCTTCCGAGCTGAAGATCACTGCTCTGGACTAACTAACTTGGTCTGATTGGCTAGTAAGTTATTAATAGCTCTCAACATTAAGGCAGAATTCAGATTATTAGCATCATTATGATGCCTTATCTTCCGCTTTAATTCAGCCAATCTACAAACATCGAATTGGCTAAAATATTTATCTATTACACTAATATAATGAGGTGACATACCCACGATATTTTTAACATGAATATTTGTAATAAGCTGACATATGGCTTCTTTGCTGATATTATAACAACCCTTTAGATCGAGATATTTTAAATTAAGGTATGAACTAGCAATTGCATTGATAGTTATATCGATAATCACTGTGCAGTGGAAAATATTGAGATATTCTAATTTATGGCATCTCAATATGATTATCGATAGACCATCATCAATTATTTCAGTATTTCGAGATATCTGATTCTGGTTATAGCCTACTTCCTCATCCTTTTGCAAATTGAGATACTTCAAATTAGGGTATGATTTTGCTATTCATTTTAGTGTCTTATCGCTGAATCCCCTACTATAGCTAAAATTTAAATGAACTACAGTATATTTGAGAGCAGGTCTGCGATTCTTTTGAATTTTTTATCTGAAAGTCGATAGTAATTTGAAATTTCTAGATGAGTTACATTCAAACAATAAACTG